CTATAATAGGTTGAAATGTGCACCTGATAAAAGTATTCGGTAAAGTGAAAATGTTTTTATCAGGTTTAAACTGACGCATAAAATATACTGGTGACTGCGGGAGGCAAATATTTATATTGCCTCCAAATAATGTGTCTGCAGCTTTAATTTCAAAGGATGTATGTAGCCCACATACTTCCAAGTAACATGCTCTATACCTATCAAAAGTCATGGTATTATCATGGGTTATCATAACTCCATTGTAATTCCCATAAAATCCAATTTTGGACAATATGGGAGCATACAATATATACCTAAATGTATCACTTAGACTCAAGTCTCCTTTTACTATGATTAAACTTTAAATTAGAGAGTGAAAAAAAAAAAACAGTCTCCATCTCCTGGGACTGTTTAAGGTAGATATGTGTCATAATTAATGACAAGATTTGTTGAGAGTTTGTCAAAGGAAGTACAGTGACAGTCTACAAAATTAGAAGATTGCCCAATGAATTTGAATATATATATATTTTTTTTAAACTTTTGTTAAGTTTTGAATTACACCTGCATTTGTCTGTTAGCTAGGAATAACAGTGACCACATTCCACAGTATAACCAACTTCATTATCACTGTAACTTGATATGGGAAATTCTGTAGCAGATTCTACTACCTTCACCTCCGCCTCCGGCTACGTTTCTCCCAAAATTTATTGCTTGCAGAGGGTTTTTCTGTGTTCCCATGGCTGGACGGAACTTTTACACTCAAATGTTATCATTAATTATGATATTGTGACTTTTAAATGAAGTACCTGTGGTAATTTAGGAGATTTGTCACTGATAATGGAAAGATGAAGCAGACGACGAAACATGGCGTAAGATGTTGTTGTCCAAACTTCGGTTATTTCCGTGGTACAATAAAATTTAAATAAACTGCACAAGTTACTAAAATTTCTAAATTCTTGTTTTTGTAAACAAATAAGAATTCATGTCACATTTAACATCGAATTTATTCCGTTTTGTCCCGTTTTTTCAAAATCGCGATTAAACGAGAATCTGGCAGCCATTAAAAATATAAGGGTTAAACTAATGTCCTGAAATTGTCCTTACGGATATTCCAATGCTAATTTCGTTTTCATTATTTGAAGAATTGACCTTATATTTGGAGCCAAGCAAGAATACAATGTTTATTTAATAAATATAATGAAAAAAAAGAAAACAAATATTTTTAAGAGTTAGATACCTTGACTTGATCTACTTCGAAAATTAAAAAAAAAAATCGTACGAGATTTAACGAGAGTGACGAAACTTTTTAGATTGCTCATGTAGAGAGAGTTATCGTTCTTTATTCCAATTCGATGCTTCTACCATAAGTGCCAGCTAAAGCTGGCATATTATGTTGATAGTCCTAAATATAAAGCTTTATTACAACTGTCACATAAACTTAACATTAACCAAGTAAACTAAACATTGACCAATGAACCATGAAAATGAGGTCAAGGTCAGATGAACCATGCTAGGCAGGCATGTACAGCTAACAATTCTTCCATACAACAAATATAGTTGACCTATTGCTTATAGTTAAAGAAAAACAGACCAAAACACAAAAACTTAACACTGAGCAATGAACCTTGAAAATGAGGTCAAGGTCAAATAAAACCTGCGTAACTGACATATAGATCATAAAATATTTCCATACACCAAATATAGTTGAACTATTGCATATAGTATTAGAAAAAAAGACCAAAACTCAAAAACTTAACTTTGACCACTGAACCATGAAAATGAGGTCAAGGTAAGATGACACCTGCCAGCTAGACATGTACACCTTACAATCATTCCATACACCAAATATAGCTGACCTATTGCATGCAGTATTAGAAAGAAAGACCAAAACTCAAAAACTTAACTTTGACCACTGAACCATGAAAATGAGGTCAAGGTCAGATGACACCTGCCAGCTAGACATGTACACCTTACAATCATTCCATACACCAAATATAGTAGACCTATTGCATACAGTATAAGAAAAACAGACCAAAACACAAAAACTTAACTATAACCACTGAACCATGAAAATGAGGTCAAGGTCAGATGACACCTGCCAGTTGGACATGTACACCTTACAGTCCTTCCATACACCGAATATACTAGACCTATTGCTTATAGTATCTGAGATATGGACTTGACCACGAAAACTTAACCTTGTTCACTGATCCATGAAATGAGGTCGAGGTCAAGTGAAAACTGTCTGACGGGCATGAGGACCTTGCAAGGTACGCACATACCAAATATAGTTATCCTATTACTTATAATAAGAGAGAATTTAACATTACAAAAAATCTGAACTTTTTTTTCAAGTAGTCACTGAACCATGAAAATGAGGTCAAGGACATTGGACATGTGACTGACGGAAACTTCGTAACATGAGGCATCCATATACAAAGTATGAAGCATCCAGGTCTTCCATCTTCTAAAATATAAAGCTTTTAAGAAGTTAGCTAACGCCGCCGCCGCCGCCGCCGCCGGATCGCTATCCCTATGTCGAGCTTTCTGCGACAAAAGTCGCAGGCTCGACAAAAATGACCATAGCACAATAACACAAGGGCGGGATGTATAAATACCGAGCCACGCTATAAGTATATTACCAAAAATCGAAATAAACAGTAAAGGTTAAAAATATACAAAGACAAATAAAAGGAGCACTATAACACGTAATTAAGATGATAAACAACGTCAGTACCTAGAATTTATACTTCAAGACCATCATGTATTATTAATGAAGTTGATACGGAATATATATCAACAATGTCTTTGTATCTCGTGTATCTTCCGATGAACTTTTTTAGAAAAGGACGTGACGTTCTTTGACATAACCCTGATTCATCAACTTTCTGCTCAGACACTGCCACGTGTGACGTTTTATAAAGTCTTAGTAGCAGCCGCAAGCAGGACAACCTTTTTACGCCTAATCGTGTAAGTTATCGGTAGCTATCTTGTTCTGTTTTGTTTCTTAAGACATATAATAACGAATTTAAATTTGAATAACCGTTAGTACGGAAATTTGTCATTAACATAAATACGATCATGAAAATCATGGTAGGATTCACAGGCTTTGAATTATAGTCTCAGAGATTAACATGTGTACTGGAACTTTGCTTCATGATGCAGGAAATTAGGAGACGATAAAATGTTGTAACACTATTGAAGTCAACTTGTCTGCTTTTTTCAGATTTACCTCAACAATTTCTTTGGGCGTTTTGACAGATATTTGATTTGACTAAGTTAAACTCAATTGACATTCATGTTTGGGTTATGAAAGCGTTGTACGCATTTTTAGTATGAAGCGCTTATGCTTCAACGCTTTTACATTCCTATATGATTACAAAATAAACCATTCAATTCACCAGTAAAACCACACATTTAGGCCTGCTTTACAAAAATACAGTAATAATAAGTAACATAAATAGTTTCTTCGTTTGAATACATTACATTTTTCTTTAAATAGACGATAACAAACTTGTATACTGATAAACATACTTGCAACATGCGTTCCCACGAACAAATGGTTTGCCGATAATAATTTTATATACTGATAAACATACTTGCAACAAGTTTTTCCATGAACAATAGGCTTGCCAATAGCACACTAATATACTGATAAGCATACTTGTAACATGTTTTCCCAAGAACAATAGGCTTTCCGATAACAAACTTATATACTGATAAACATACTCACAACATCTTTTCCAAAGAATAATAGGCTTGCCGATAACAAATTTATATACTGATAAACTTACTGCAACATGTTTTCCCAAGAACAAATGCTTGTCGATAACAAACTTATATACTGATTACAGGTAATATACTTGTAACTTGGTTTCCCAAGAACAATGGTCTTGTCGATAACATGCGTATATAGACAATAATAGTGCATTGACTTGACATATCAACGATATAAGGATGAGGCTTAGAAACGGGGAAATGCGAGGCTCTGCCGAGCTTTTTCCCCGTTTCGGGCCGAATCCTTATATCGTTGATATGTCAAGTCAATGCACTATTATTGTCTTTATACTGCAATCTAAAAAAAGCATTTTCAATTGTTGTTTAATGTGTTAATGTTATTATTTGATTTAAATATTGGAAAACTTTCCCCTTTTATAAAAAGGCCTCATACCATGCAGGCGGAGAAATATACAACACAATGAAATGTACATTACCTGTTGAAACCCGCAATCGATGGTGAACGATTTTGTTTGAGAATGAACTAAAATATCAACAATTAATAAGCATAAAACATAATGATTTATAGTTTGCAAACCAAAAATATTAACAAGTGAAATATGTTTTGCAAACTATAAATTGCAAAAGAAATAAGTTTGAGTCGTTGTATACATTGGAAACAAGAACAGGTTGAATAGGTCGTATGAATAATTAATTATAATTTCGGCAATTTCTATTTAAATATTCATGAGGAAAAGTGATATCAGGTCAGTGACTGTATATGACATAGAAATATACGGTCAACGCATTTTGACTGCTCAAATAGAACGAGTGCAGTATAAATACTGATTAACATACTTGTAACTTGTTTTCCCAAGAATACATGGCTTGCCGATAACACACCGATATCGGATAAACATACATGTAACATGTTTTCCCAAGGAAAGATGGCTTGCCGGTAAGAAAATGATACAATGATAAACATACTTGTAACATGTTTTCACAAGAAGAAATGGCTTACCGATAATACACCTTATCGCTTTTTGTCCGCCATTACTGGACATCAAAAAAGTTCCCGTAAAATTTTGACGTCATAATAGAAAATATCTGACGCCACAATGGAAAAGTGATTGTTGTATGACGTCAAAAGTTCAAGCGGGACAGATTCTCGGGTCAAGCGGGACAGATTTCCAAATAGCGATAAGGTGTATAACTCATATAACGATAAAAGTACTAGTCTTGCAACACGTTTCCCGAAGAGGAAATGACTTGCCGATAACAAACTGATTTAACGATAAACTTACCTGCCACATGTTTTCCCAGGAAGAAACATCTCCGTTAATAATCGGGGCATCCAGTGACAAACCAGCATTGTTTATACAAACATCAACACCGCTCCATCTCTTTTTTATCATAGCAAACATCTCCATGATATCGTCTTGCTTTCGTAAATCACAAATAATTGGTAGGAACTGGCCACCACTTACTAGAATTTGTTCTTCCAAATCCTGAAAAATCAGGAACCTATTTAATTCGCGTCGTGTATTTAGACAATATGACCCGGTATTTGCTTTTAAGCCATATGAGTGGGACATCCACCATAAAATTTTAAATTCTTCATACCTCATTAAATGTGCTTTTTCCTGAATCCTTGACATCTTTACTTACAAGAAAAAACAATAAAAAGATAGTTGGGGTTATTACATTTTCACACTTGGTATGTCTATTACTGATCTCAACCTTTTTTTACTCACGTAACAGGACAGACATTGGAGAATATATTGATATGAAATTATGCAGTTACTTACCAATGGATACATTTTTTAAGTTGCTGGTGACTAACAAAGCACACACTTTCAGTTTAAACAACTAATTTATTTAGATTAGATCAGATTATTGTATGATTCTGTGAGACCGAGAAAAAATATTTGGCAAAAGATCATTGTTTTTTCTCTATTTCCATTGTTTCCCCTTATATATATGAAAAAAATTGTTAAGGTTGCATTATGTAACTTTACAAAGACATGCAAAAAATATAAGGAAGTTTACAAGTCCCTAGATGCCTATTTCACCAATTCTTTGTTCAGTCTTAAAATTTCAACTCACGTAACAGGACAGACATATTTCATTTCAAAACATGAAATAAGATCTCAGTGGTTCATATGTATTGAATAGTGTAGATTAGAAGTAAAATACTGATTAAGGGCCATATTTTGAGGACTTATTTGAAATACTCTTAGGTTCTATAACAAAGAAGTAACAGAAATAAAGGGTTATCAGTTATTAATCTTTTCTTGAGCAATTTATAAACATTGTTTCAGTAAAATCATTGTTTATTGTCATTAATGGTAAAGTATTTTTGATTATATTCATTACATAGTACTGTAAGTTGAAATAATTTCTTGTGACAAACAATTATCTATAATAAAATATATATTAATAACAAAGATTTGAATTGTATGAATAAATAATTAAATGTCAAATTTGAAGCTGTATCTTGATCCAGAGAAAACAAGATCTGGTGGCTCAAGTTTCCTGATGATGTCTGTTTTCTGGATGGTGTATTCATTTGTTTGTAAGGTCCAGTTGTCCCTGTGTTTGTGGTAATATTGAATCCACAGGAATTCATCTTCAATGTTTGTAATCTACAAAAGTATAAAATCATCACAGTAAAACTAATTTTTAAAGAAATTTAGTCTAAATAATTGAACTATGAAGTCGTTTGAAAAATTGAATTGTACATCTTGTCTGAACGTTACTTAGATTGATTGTTCAAAACAGACTTTTGAAGGGGCCTGGCTTAGAAATTGATGCTGTACCTATGTTATTTTAATATAATTATCTATGTGTTTGCTTTTAAAAAAAACCAAGGACATGTACATGTATATAATGCTATCATAAATAACAAAACAAAACAAAAAAAATAAAAATAAAAAACACAAATAAGTGAGTGAAGACACCGTCACATGTAGAATATAAATATCAATATGTTGGTAAATTTTCAAAAGTTTGCTGACCAGAATATATCAAAATTAAAGCCATATAAGCTAGCAGGTGAATAAATCTTCAATTATACCAATTACAGCTTCTTCACTCATAGAGTAAATAAGCAAGGACAAGTATCTCTTCAGACTCTTGTCATTGCTTATAAAATTTAATACTGAAAATTTATTGCAATAACTTGAACTTCAATAGACTTACAACTGCAGGAAGATGTTCTGAACCATGTTTTACCAGAACATGATCTCCAACAGTACACCTATATTATAACATTGAGTTTTTGTTAAATTTACAATCTTTAAATTAAAAAGTTAAATTTGAAATTCAATTAAAACTGACTAATCAGTGTGAAATGATTAAATTGTTAAATGTACATGTATGCTTTAAAGCCTCTTCACATATATCCAGTTGTAAATATTCGCTTGACTGTTAATTGCCTAATGTCCTATCAAGTTTCAAAGGAATATTTATTAAACTGCATATATTTATACAATGTTTACCATACAGATTTATGGAATTAATGTTTTATTGTAACAATGAAATTTTCACAAAACTTACGCTGTGTCCTCTATCATGCTGTCATCTTTAATGTATGAGAACGATGTGTCTGGGTCGAAACTTATGTTGCCAAGTTCAAAAGGCACTCCATGACCATCATCTAGGACCACTGGATCTTCATCATGTCCATGACCATCATCTAGGACTACTGGATCTTCATCTAGGACCACTGGATCTCCATTACGTCCATTATCTTCATCTTCATCTACAGCTGTATCATCTGAATCGTCCTCTGGTCTGTTTACTGGCACATGAACAGCTAATTTTTGTTAAGAATGTTTTTTTATGTATAAGAGAGACAATATGAAAAAATATGTAAATTTGTGATTGCTGTCATTAATAAAATGTCTATGTACATTGGTTGTTGTTATTAATATACATGATATATGGCTTAATACAATTACTATTTCATTACAAGTAGTTTTGTGTACTTTGTATGCTTCTAAATATATTTTTGTATGTTCCAACTTCTGGTGTATTGGGTATATATACTGAAGGATATATTTCAGCTGTGTTATATATGATTGCTCTCATTGATAACATATTCTATGTTCATCAATTGCTGTCATGCATGTATTGCTTAAAATAAAATCATTATATGTTGTTGTTGATTTGTTTTCTTAATTGTTTTATAGGCTTTTTGATCTTTAATTTTTCTACTACAGTTATATACTGAAGGATACATTTTATCATTACAGACTGCCAACCATCGACGTGACTACCATTAACACACCTGTCATATCTTCTGTCTATGCATTGAGTGCAAAAACAACTAAGTTTTCTGGTCTGTATATTTCCTTTTGTAGTTGCACCTAGAATTGAATGCAACTGTCTTGTTCCTTTAACCACTTTAGCACTTCTATCTATTCTTGGTCGTACTATCTCTGTAGATTCTACAAAAATGAAGACTCGTCTCTTGAGACAACAATTTTCATCATTGTTGCCCTTAGTTAAATGCTCACTTACAGCATCGAAAAATTCTCTGGCATTGGTGATAATTGCCTCATCATTCTTTACTAGTCGGGTGGCCTTTGATTTAACCACCCCTGCCTCCCCATCACACCTGTTCTTTCCATGGCGGGAACCATAATAACATCTTTCTATGCTTACACCGAAATCTTCTACAAAACAGCTTGCATCCATAAAAGGAACTTTTGACTTGTATTGTCCAGCACACCCATCGCTGATGACAACAACATGTTCTAGGTCTAGGTTTCTCACATTCTGGAAATGGTCCATCACTTTTTTAGTAAAAGTATGGACAGCGTGACTGTCATGAATAAGGTCATTACTAATGATATCCACTATTTCCTCTACTTGCACTTTGCCATGCTCTTGACAATTAAACATATATGTGCAAACACAAGGGTGTATTGTAACAGAATCCTTTGCCCAATGGGCACCCTGTATTTCGTTCTGTGAGAAGCACGAATAATTTTCTGCGAAGTCAATAACAATGATAAGCTGTTTCATCGGGAGGTTTTTTGAAAGCTCAGAAAACTGTTCATGTTGCCAACTTGCAACAAAGAGGTGTTGAGATAAAAATTCTACCTCTTCCAACAACTCAGTGATAAGAAGGTAAGGACTTCCTGTTTTTGAGACTACTTGCCTTTTACTTATTTCCTTTTTAGTTTTATGATTAATTGTCTTTACCGTCTCCCATTTTTGCCAACTGATAACTGAACTGTCTTTATCTACTGGTTCAAGTTTTTGCCTCAATTTTTTTGTGCCGCATATGGCACATTTTCTAAGTATACAGTCTCTGTGATTGTGCTTTACACCTTCAGCTTTAGGACATAAGGTTTCTCTTACTGCTGCATACTCGTCTTGGATCTTTAGTTCTGGGTGTTTATCTGTAACTTTATTTAAGGCTTTAATTTTCAATTTAACGTTCTCACAATACTCACATAGACATGAAAATAGTTTTCTATGTTTTTGAGTCAGCACATTCTTTGGCCTAAATTTGTAGAATCTACCAATTGACATTTTACATTCTGGGTTTTCTTCATTCCACTGTCTCCATAGACTATTTATGCTCCTAGTCATTACATGTTTATCTTCTAGGTTTTTTTTAACACTCTTTTTATCAGGAATTGTTTGACTTGCTCCACAAAAAATATCTTTAACTTTTTCTGTTGTTTGCTCTGGTATGGCATCTTTACGGATTTTTCTTGGTTTTTGTGTTAAGTATTCTGATGACAAATATTTTCTCTTAATTCCAGTTGATGATGAAAAGAAATGCTGAAATTTAGATGATGGTTGTATATATTTTGAGATGTGTCCAAGATAATCTTTATGACGTTTTTTTTGCAAATTTGACCGACCTCTCAAGTCCTTCTCTGCTTTACCCAATACATCCATCATATCATCTAAATTCTTCTGTGCATTCGGGGAACCAATGCCTTCTTTTTGAAGGGCTGCTTTCTTTTTTGGAGTAACCTTTGTCATTAGACCTTTCAATATCTTGGCATATCTTTCGGGCGTCTTTGGTAGATTTTTTTTAACCCTGTAAACAGCTTTTCTGTATGTTTCTTTATTTTGGTACGTACATGTATTTTCATTGCTACTGCTTTGAGTTGGAAACATAGCTATTTTTGTGTTTTGTAACTTTTGCCTTTTCTCACGTTTTTGAGCTGCATCCTTTTCTCTTATTCTTCTTTTTTTTTGAGCTGTGAGATTCCCCCGCCATTTCCTTTTGTATTCCCTTTGATTTCTTATTTTCTCTTCTTTTTTTTGACGAACAAGTCTAGTTTCAATGCAATCATCTACTTTATCGGAATTGAAGGATTCTTCTTGTCTTTTTTTTTCTCTATATTTTTTCATGCGAAGCTTGCTCTGCTCTCTGTTTTTTAGTTTTTGTTCATTTGTCCATTTTGATCTGTGAACTTTCATTTCATCAGCATGTTTTTTTTTCTTGGAGTCCATTATAAGATTTTTTTTAAAATTTTGA